CTGTGGTGCTCATTCCCCTCTTTATTACTTCTAGAAAGAGAATATGAAATTAGTTTCATTGGATTGCCATCGCCACTTGCCTTGACCCATTTTTACGAGGGCTCCATGTTCTGCTGTTTTGTATTTCATTGTCATTTCTAAAATATTTGTTCCCTTCCACCCCTCACAAAATGACAAAATTAGTATTTCATTTACTTCTGTGGTATGTTATTTTCCGCATATTTAAAGAGAGACCACAATGTTTGCAGTGAACACACAATACAAAAGAGCTTTCCTACAGCTTTCTGCTATGCCTTCTTTTATTTACTAATGTTCCTCCATGATTTATGATCTGAACTATTATAAACTGCCAGATTTGTCTAAATCAAAGCTTCAGAGAAAAAAAGGGTGGAGGGACGTCAGTGACAAAAGTAAGTGTATCAGAAAGCATGTGAAAACCATTCCTGTTTCTTTAAAGTCAACATTTGACTGCTCTTAAATCAATATGCACCTACCAGCTTCAGCAGATCTACCTGTCAGCTTATGCAGAAAATGAAAGGCAAGGTTTCTCTGCTCTCTGAATAGCAGGTACTTTGCTGCAGTGGTGGCTCATTACTCCAGAGAACCGGCTTATCCACCCCAACACTCCAGAGACAACAGCTTGATTCATCGTTTTCCCAACTGAGTCAGGTTTCTCTGCCCCAGCAATTAACAATGAATTAGCACTATATTAAAGTGCCAGGCAAGATGGTTATTCTCTGGAGTGGTCACCTTGGACACAGCAGACGAACAGTGGGAGAAGGGAGAGAAATTAGATTTACTGTGTCCCAGCATGTCTGTAACAAACACCACATCCCTGGTTGGCAATGGGAAGCGGCTGTAAGCACTTCTCAGCATTAACACTCCAGAAAGGTCCAACGCCAGCAAACAGCCTGGGAATGGTGGGATTTAGCGAGGGATGGAAAGTAAGAGAGGGTACCCTCACCTCTGTAGAGCAGGAAGCTAAACACAGAAGCAGGACGACTGCTTGCTGCAAAGTGACTACTTTGCATGCAGTCTGTCCAAGAGATCTACGCGACAGCCAGGCCAGGCCAGGTCAAAGGTCCAGACAGGATCCCACATCTGATGGTGGTGGAAGAGGATGAGAACAGGGCAAAAATACAACAATGCCTTCTGGCATACCCGCCCACCCTCCAGGAACCTGTGGCTCAGGCACTCTGTAAATTGAAGGTGGTATCCTTGTGGTACCCAGCTAGCAACGCTGTCACAGGTCTTTTCCTTAGTCCTACAGCAGCACTTGGTGATTACATCGCATTGTGCAGAATGGGAAGGAGAAAGACCCACTTAACACACACCTGAATTTCCTTAAAAAACAAGCGAGAGGCTGTGGCAAGCTCAGCCTGCATGCACAGCAACATGTAGGTATAGCATGGATGCTCCTCAACTAGCATGTGAAGGAAAATCCACACTCCGACACGTCCATATGGTCATACCCGATGCTGCCAAAGAACACAGCCATGTCACAGAGCTCCACAGGGCTCACATTTTATGACTCCTCAGCACAATAACAAATAAATCAAGTGTGCGGGGAGGAATTTCTTGAGCACTGAGCTTCCACTATAGACATTTTTCATTTCAGAAACAGGAAAATATTTGATTAAATGGATTAATATATGGCTGATGGGAAAAATCTAATGGAAGAGAGAAAAAATGAAAATGTTTCTTTTTAAAGCCCTGAATGTAAAGCTAAACAGTGAGGTATAGGTTAGTAACACTGAACAGAGGGTAAGAACCTGCCACAAAAGAAACAGCAATCCCTTAAACATCAAGAGCCAAGTTGTGTCCAGCTGATCTTCTACAGCACTACAACAACTGCCCCGCTGCGCCCACCCTGCTGGTAGAGGACAGAAACCATACCTGGCCTTGGGGCGATTCCCTCACTGAAGGTGAGCCCAACCCTGTAATCGGCAAGTGAACTACACAAACCCCATCACAATGAAATCTTTGCCATTTTCAAGAAGCCATACTGGGGAAAAGGCTGAAATTTATCTATCTGTTATCTTTTGTCTGGTCATGCCTCTTGTGATGATAGCCAGGATTTTCTTCCAAGTCCTTCAGTCTGACAGAGGGGTGTCCCCAGCCCAGAGAGGGCTCGATCGTGGTGGCAGGGAGCTCTGGCAGCAGCATGGGGCAGCCTGTTTTCAGGCTCTCCCAGTCTCACAGCTGGAGGAGCAGGAGACTCAAGCATCAGACACAAGTTACCATACAAACGTCAAATTCATCAGAGCAGAGAGGAAGATGGGGTGGGCGGAGAGAGAGAGAGCAGAGGTGAGAGCCTCCTGCCTGCTTCGGTGTTACAGTACTGCACCTGCTGTTATTCACAGCGCTGCTACTTGTATCTCCTTCAAAGGACTGTCATCTTGACATCAAGGCTGCAGGAAAGGGCTCGACTTACAGTGCACTATTCACTAGCAAAGCCTGCAAAGCAAAGTAGGTCGGTGACTGCAGCTCTTGGATGTTTCCACCCCCCGCTAAAATGCAGCCAGGCACCGTGGCAGACATTCTGCACCCGCCACCACTTTGAGAAGGAAATGAGAGTTGCTTTCCCACTTGACACTACAGGGGGAATTTCAGATAGGCAGAATGTAATTACTTGGCCTGGAGTTCAGCCAGGAGCGGAGCCCAAGACCCCTACCCTTATGTAAAGTGTCACAAAATCTCCAATGACTGCAAGTGTGAGGACCTCAGCTTTACGTCTCTGGCTGCTGTCATTGATTCTTCATGGCTAATTATCTAATAGTGACCCTTGCAGCAAAGCCAAAAAACAAACCTTGTTGCTTGAAACAATTCAAGTCCCAGAGACTAAAAATGACACAAAATTTGCTTGGTGCAGGGCATCTTTTGACGGTAGGGAGCAGGTGGACAGCAAGCCTCCTGTGTCTCGCACTGGTAGCGTGCCACTCAGAAACCTACTGGGGTTTTTGGATGGGCAAACATAGCTTTAAAATGCAGCACCCCCAAAACACAAGCCTACTGTATCAACTATATACCCGGGTCTCCAGAGTTTTGCTGTATGTAGCTGCCAGCTGGTTCCATTTATTTTTCTTCATTTTTCATATTTTGACTGTAATAAATAATTAATCCATGGCTTTGTAACTTGCTGACAAATACAAATGCATCACATTCCAATGCAGTGTAACGTGTCACTCACAAGAGCCAACCTGCACGATGCAGAAAAGTGATGTGCAGAAGGCTTTGGAAAGTAGGCTAATCATCAAGGTCACTCACAAGAGCTCAGGGAAACTTTTTCTTCAAACTGTCCCTTAGAGGATAGTCCTACTGGCTGTGGGCACCAGAACTGGGTTAGTATGTTCAAATCTACGCAGCTCTAGTCATCTTCCCACATGTTAGCTTGGCCCTTTACTCTTTTGTGGCTCCTTGCCTCCAAGATCCCACAAACTTTTGAGAACGTGGAAGACAAAACTTGCAACATTAATTACTTGGAGCACTTCCCCTACTTTATAGCTCTGAGAACCCAAACCCCAGGAAACCCCATTTTTTCTTCCAGGCAAAGACCAAATGGAAAGCAAGGAGGAAGTCAGTAGCAGAAGAGACAAAGGAGACTGAACTAGGCAATAATTAATCTGGGTGAGACCAACGTGTTTCAGAAGGGGCAGGACTAGAAGACAGAAAAACCTCCTGCCTTTGGAAAAAGGAGACTAGATAGTTGGCAGCAGAGCTAGCAGCAGCAGAACAAGAGCAGCGACAAAGAATAGGGGCTGAATGCCAAGGTTCACAGCAAGAGTAGCAAAGCAGTGCAAGCCACCATCAAACGACAACAGGGAGAGCAAAGGTGGGAGGAGGAACTGTGAGATTATCAGAGAAACGCAGTATGGATGACTCTCTGAGAGTGGTCACACAACGGGATCAGGTGAATGGCACTGAGCGCCAGTGGCAATCCAAAACGATGGTCTGCTGTGGAAGGCATCACCTCAGCTTTTTAGATTAAAAAAACATCTCCTGAGCCTGTCTCGACCATCAGCAGATGTCTGGGTCTGTGATATGCATCACTAGTTATTAGGAATACACATAAGCCTGATTTTCTCTTCTGACTGAAGCTGCAACTGCAAAGATGAAAAATCTTGTAGTATTTTCACTTCATTTTCCCTACACATATTTGTATCTGTTTATTTCTTATTCTATTAAGACCTGAGACAAGGATAGAATAAAGGTGCACAAACCAAAAATTCATCCTAGTCACAAGGGTTGTAGAGAGGAGCAAAACAATCCTGAGGAGGCTGTGAAATGAAGGCCTGTTCCCCACAAAATACTCATCATGGTCATTTTAAAAGTACTTTTAATTTTCAGTGAATATATAAAACACACTTCTCCATGTAATACTCCTCAATATCCCTGTGTCACCCATGCATGGACAAACTTCCTCTCCTACCCTCCTACTTTTCCTGAAGTGTTAGCTGGCTCCTTCGAATGAAAGCAGATGTACGGCTGCAGTTGCCTCTTGGCCACTGTTTGACAGTGCGTATCAGGGGTGCTCAGGTTCTGTAAGGAGGAGCAAGTGACCAAGTCCCCACTTCTGTTCTGCTTCCTAAATAACCACACACTTCTTGCTCTTGCTGAGGAACACATTTGTACTCCTCTAAATGTCGGCAGCTTTAGACAGCTAAATTGTGTTTCAGCCACAACGCAACTACTGACACCAAGAGAGCTCCATAATATCACTACTACTGACCTTGCTGTTATCGGTGGCATGGATTATCACATCCCTTCTCTTCAACCACCGACACAAAGCTGCACACACTCACACGCATGCTGCAACATACACACAGTGAACTCTGAACTTGTGAGCTGTGGCTTACATGGGGCCCTACAAACAGATGAAAGGTGATGTGTCTCAACCTGCAAAGCAGAAGGAAGCTGGAACCAGTTGCTTCTCTCTACCTCTGACAGCTGTCCATCGCCCCACCCCGCAGCCACCCTGAGAAGGAAATTAGCGCTCTGACCTGCACGGGCTCAGGAGTGAGCTGGACAACATGCTGCATACGCTCACTGTGGTGATGTCTGGACTCCTCCTCGTAGATCACATCCCTCTCATGCTGGGGAAGGTTCAGGAAGCGGCGAATGGTGCAGAGGTTCTCCCAAAGGGTGCGGTTTTCCGGACTTGGGTTTTCTTTCCAGCGAAGCAGCTCACACAGCCAGCCCTGCAACGGTAGGGTCAGCACGGTTAATTCACTGAGCACCGAGGAACCAGATGTGAGTGGAAGGTCAGCTAGACTTAAAGCTCCATGCTGCAAGTTTCACTGGTCTCATCTCACGCAGAACACCCCCTACCCTCAGCTGCCCTTTGGTCTCAACAAATTCTTGATATATAATATTTCCTGCAAGTTGGAGAAACAGATGCATCCAGCAGTGCTTAAAAGGAACCAGAAAGCACAGCAACTTGCCCCCAGTCATAATCATACCATGTTTAAAACACTCAGATAAAAATATTTTTCCTATAGAAAACCAGAGTTGAAATAAAGGTGCATCTCCACTTCCATTTCAGAGCCCCTTTATTTCTTCATCCGAGCAAGAGAAAAGGAGACATAACCCCTGAGACTTGCTAACAACCCTCATGCTAAGGGTTGCAGCTGCAGGACCAGAAATTTAACCACTACTGAAAAGGTTTAGAAGAAGATACTATCAAGTAAAGACCTTTGATGTGCTGTCACTATGTTGCACTGACTCCCTCAGCTCTGAACACCACTAAAATTGACAGCTTTAAATAATCAAATGGCCACTTAGAAGATGCAACCGCAAAGAAAGGGAATCCCCTAGTATTTAGCACGAAAGCAGCAAACATGGTCCTGCAGAAGTTACTACAGAGATCAAGATCCTAGGTGGAGGTTATTCTAAACCCAACTACAGATCACAGTAATAGCAGGTTTTATTCCTGCTATATTAAGTTTAGTTTGAGGTGCCTTCAAAAAGCTACCACTGTACGGAATCCTGTAGGACCTCTCCACAGGGCTGAGAGCTCAGTCCCCGGGAGGAGGAAGCGCCAGGGCTTCGTGAAGAGAGAGGAAGGCAGCCTAAAACACAAAGCCAACCAGAGGGCACAACGGCAAGAGCTGTTAGGGCGAGGACAGCCCCGTGCGTGTTGAGCGCGTGTGGCGGTGACCCGGTGTCCCCAGCAGGTTAACCAGGGACGGTGGCTGTTGCTGCCCCTGCTCGGGGTGGGGGGACACAGCCAGCCAGCAGCCGGCCCCGCTCGGGGCTGGGGACAGCGACTCCCCTCCTGTGCCTGCGCGCCGGAGACGCAATGCAAATGACAGGATATGAGAAGATAATGCTGAGGATGCTGTCAACGCGCCTTACTGACTCCTGTCAAAATATTTTACCTAGTAGCTTTATAACCCATCATTTTCGAGCTACAACTCAGCATTTTGACACCGTTTTGACAGGCACCTTACAATACCTAAAAGATAGCTTGATCGATGTTAAAAACGTTCGGTACGAGAAGTAGCCAAAACTATGTTTTTCCAAACAGCGACTAGAGCAAGCTGAACAGCCAGGTTCATTACCAGCCCACGTGGGGGTTTTTTGGTATTGCTTTTTTGTGTAACAACTTGTAAGCCATTGACAACTTCTACCGTGCACTCTAAACCCCGTATATAATATCATAAGCCGTTGTTTGTCTTACTCTCCACTGTGTCTTCTGCCTTCACCCCCCAAAAAAGGCAAGATTTGATTATCTCCGCTGCATCAGCCAAGACAGCAACACCAGCTGTTCTCATTGTGCAGCCTCTTCCTCACGGCCTACATGTTAATAACCTGATCATTCCATTTTCTCCTTCAACTGCCGGCTGCAGCACAGCAAAGAGACAAAAACCCAGGCCCATCTGCAGCAGCTGTAGGCACTGAACTGTGAAGCCACCAGGGATTTATAAACTAATCTGTAACACAACACTGCCTTGTTTTTACAAGTGAGAGGCCACATTTGTGCAGACCTGATCTTTTCTTGCAATAAACTAGGAGGGCTGGGGGGGGGAGCAGGCAAGGATGAAAACAAGATATCTAATCATTTACTTGGGGGGGGGAGGGAAATCTGTGTTATATTTTCAAAGTGTTTTGACTGGTATTTGGGTAATCTCTCAGCCAGGTGATGTCTGCATTTTAATGTGGTTTGGCCACATCCCTTGCCCTCAGTTCTCCTCTTTCCCCTTCCTGCGCTCAGAAATCCCCCAAAACTTTCACTCTTACACAGAAAAGAGAGGAAGAAAATCTCCAAGCTCCACAGTGTTTTCTCAGGGGTTCCTCCATACAAAGGAAATAATTTTTGAAACGGAAAGTAAACCAGCTGTGGAAAAAATAAGCTCCCATTTCTCCCTGTTTTCAGTGATCTGATTTAAGTCTCCAACTGAACTCTTTCAAATGTTTCAAGCAGGTATGTTTAACATCTCCCGAGGGACGCTGCAGCATAAAGACCAATCGTTTAGCAGAAAATACACACAAAACCCTGCACCTGGTGGAGCCGGAGCCCCGTGCGGGGCAGGCCTGGGGAAGGACGGCTCCTGGGGCTCTCCCGAGGGCTGCGGAGCCCGGGGACGGCCCAGCGGGGCCACCGCCCCTTCCCGGAGTTGGACCGGCTAGCCCGATGGCAACTGCTGCATTTTGATTTATCTGTCCCGTTATAATCAGAACTCATTACAATCACTTAGAGCAACACTACAGGCCTCATTATGGACTAGGCACTCGCTGCCATTAGTCTTTAAGAAGGATAGCGCTCAATTTGCCTGGCAACATGCGAGGTCCTGACCTTGGAGCTATTAGGGAAAAGATTAGACTGCAGTGTGACCATGTGTGCAGACACGAGCAAACCAAATTAATTTCTGGCAAAGGGAGGCACCCGGCAAAGGCCCCGCCATCCTGAGGACACCTGAGAACTTCTCCATTCCCCAAAGGAGATAAGCTAATGGCACGTTTAAAGGAGCCTGGTTCTGAAGGTGAAGCACATCCGTGGTATTTAGAGAGATATTAATCCAGTTTCCCCACAAAGTATTTGCTTGGCTGATCAGATTAAGGGATCTAGCCTTCAACAGCACACCCCCACCACAGCAGGCCCCAAGAAATCTGTGATACTTCACAGCCTCAGACATATTGCACCATGTGTACCCAGCTGCTACAATAATTAGCTTATGAATGTATCAGCTGGTTCTGTGATTTTTATAAATAATAACTAACCTACAGAGCAGAAAGATTTTCATGAGCCTAATATTAGCAAGAAATTGCAAGGTGCGCCTAACTCTGAATTGTCATTGTGCTAAATGTCCTGTCTTCTCTCACATTGTGCGGGACTCGATCTCCCCCAGTGCCATTTATAAATATTTATTTTTGCAATGGCAATGGCAATGTATTTGTGGCAGCTTTCTTCACAACAGTCATTATTCGCTCACCCCCACACATACACACGTGTACCCACTGTGTGCATGTGTACACTTATTTGCACCAAAGCTGTCCTTTCACTGCTCTTTTCCTATCCTTCCCTTTATTTATTCAAGCATTCATTCTCTCGCCCAACCATTCAAGACCCTATCTATCCATCTATAGGGCTGCTTATTAGGTGATAGCTTTGCCTAATACGTGAGAAAACACAGCGCTGCAGCTTACTCACACATTCTTCATGATTGCAAGTAACCGCCTTCCCCATGCACAGATGAAAAGTCTGCATCAGATTTTTTTAATTATTTATTTAAATAATCTTAGCACGCCATCCAAGAAAGTTTTGCAGTACCAGGAAAAAAAAAAAAAAAAAAGTGTAAATGTCAAATAAAACAGTGACAGATGACAGTATTCTCTATTGAATAGCACCGTTTCTTCGTGCATGTTCAATGAGAACTCATGAATTATTAATACACAAAATCTCCTTTTTCTGTTAAAAATCTCAACTTGGGGTTTTTTGGTTGCAATTTTTTTTATTTTCTTTTATTTATTTCTTTGGGTCTGTGTATGTTACACAGAGCTTTCCAGGAGAATTATTTCATTTAAGAAATGCTAACATACAGAAATTCTTGGAGCTACAGCCATTCACAGTGAATTTTCATCTATAGCTACATTTATTGGCATGAAGAAGGAAAAGTGAAGGAGGAGACGCTATCTCACCACCTTTTCCCCCCCACTCATCCACAACATCTGAGCTCACTGCATTACAAGTAAATCCAACTTCTGTGAACATATTCTGAAAATCTAGCAAATAACACATCCTTCCCCAGATCCACGATACGCCGTGTTTCTGATCCTGCCTCCCCTGCACATCCTAAGTCTTGCACCACTGCACAAACAGCCCCCTTGACTGCCACAGAGTTACCAGGAGAGTTTGATACGTGCCAGTGTCAATATGGGTGGCAGAATCCGGCCCTTAATGTCAGCTCCTAAGGTTCTCAAATGGGAATGTCTTCCATTAAAAATAAGAGGAGGAAAAACAGCAGAATTAAAGGATGCTTTTGGCTCTACAGGCAGGCACACCCAGTGCTTGTGGTTACAAGGAATTCTGCTCAGAACTTCCTTCATTTCACCCCAAAACTTCTAGAGGCATCAAGAATGCAGCCCAATTTAGCTCATTAAAGAGAGCTGCAGCAAAGTGCTGGCCTCTATTTTTGTTGTTCTCATGAGACAAGATAAACATTTTCTAAGCATTTTATTTGATAAAACAAATAATATCATATTAATGTCCTATTTTTAACCTCTCTCTCTGTCTCCTAATCAAATACATTTCCACATAGCTAAGCAAACAACAACAAAAATCTGCAGGAAGCCAGCCATTCCCATTGTGCTTTTATGCTGTTAAAGAAACAGCGTGCTTACTACACCAAAGCATTAGCCTTGGCGCACTCAAACCCCCTTGAGGGACAGCTAGCTGGTGCAGCAATCACGAGCCATATTCTCTGTCACTTATCCCTGAGCCCTTTTTAGCAGCTTGACCCTTTCACTTTTGCTAGACCTACCCTGGAGCAAGGGAGGCTGCTCCACCAGCCAGAGGTACCAGCCTACAATAAGGTCAGGTTTTCCAGTGCTCAATGAAGCTGTGCACAAATATCCTGACCCCCAAAACTGCTTCCTGCAGATCTGCTGACTTGCAGTCAGCCAAGGACCAAATTTCTGATTAAGGACAAGAAGGCATGTGGGAAGAGTTCAGGCTCAGTTAGGCTGGGGCTACAGGCCC